TTTGAACTTATCAATTCAATGATGTGGCATAGAACGGGTAAAATAATGCATGTATTGAAAGGCTCCAGAAACATAATTGTAGTGCTTGCTAATTTTGCATTTTAAAGAGAAGTAACAATTACGTTGCCTTGGAAAGATTATTTCCCACTTTACTGGCGGAAGACTGCTGATGCTGAATAAATGAGGCGTTCTTTCAAAGCCCCTTCTGCTCTTTTAGCTCGTCCGCCCACCACTCTTGAAAGCGTGTTTTGATTATCCGTGAAGAAATGGGAAAAAGGATGGCTTCCTAGCAGGTTTAAGAGATTATTGGCTGTTTATTCAGATATCACTGGCAATGCTCGATGCCCCACGGAAGTCAACCCAAATCCAACCAAAGGCACAGTACTAAAGAGATTAAAGTATGGTGAGATTAATCAAAGCAAATCACAACATTTTGTGGACTTCTAAGCTGCCTGAGAGGCACTGAAAAGTATGAAATTTTCTTCTCTCTGTTTATTAGGGACAATTCTAGAATATCCCTTGTTATTGCCATTTTCGATATTATTTACTCTAGTTCGCTGCGGACGGTTGGGCGTGTCAGCCAGTATGAGTGTGCACAGCGTCAAAGCCGTTCTCTGCCTTCTTGTTGAAACGCGCATGCGACAAAAAGTGGTAGAAAACGAGTAATACGAACGATATGATACAGTCATATCACTTGCTCGCTTCAACAACTGGTGGAGAACGAGTTTGGCACCGCGCCAAACGCAGCCGCACTGACACGCCCAACCGTCCGCAGCGAACTACACTATACCCCGTACAGCCCTCTCTTTGAAAACTGAGTCCACTTTTCTTTTCGACTGGGAATTCTCTTCTTCGATGGCACTAGAAGGGCTTCATCTCCCAGTTTAGTTTGACCCCATGAACACGTTTACCACGGTTTGACTCCAAACCACCTAGCATGCGCACCAAGAGGGAGCAAGCCAGCACTGGCACTGGCACGCGTACAATACGTTTTTGCTCCTAGCATGGGTAACATTGTTGTCCAGCGGGCCAAACCGTCTCTTACAATTTTTCGACCCATTTGGTAGCTCGAGGTGTTTTAGTGCTGGCGCCTGTGACAGCAAATTCCAGTTAACTTCACCCGAGGGAAAATCGAAAAATCTGGACTGATTCTTGGAGGGTGAGGGAGTAACGAGTTAGTATGCAAATTTTCCGTCTAGAGAGGAAAATACTCGGTAAAATAGTGTGCTGTTTTCTTGCTGCTTCCAGTTTCTGATTTCGCTTGCATTTCCGTCTTATTTCCCTCGAAGCCTTGACCTTTCCTGTTAAATGCCTTTTTTCGTTCCTCTTTCTTCTACTGGTTTTCAGTCTCCTTGTGCAGCGTGAATCCCAGTTCTGTACAGCTTTAATCCTTAATCCCCACTTTCCCTTCGTATACCTGTTTGTTACAAACAAGGTCACATGAAATCACTACCGCCATTGAAGCTGGCGCGCGGTCACTAATCCCCGTAAAAAGCTCCTCTTTCAATGTACTTGATACGGAGAAGATATCGCCAAGTGATTGTTTGCGGTTGATAGTCCGAGAATACAGGACTATTCGGCTAGTCCGTGGATTTCCCGAGTCGAATTCGGGTTTTGTTTCTCTCTTCTTTCTTTCTTTCCTCCGTCTCCGACTGAATCATCGTCACTGAATAGATCGGGGTGCGCTGATCCGTCAGCTACCACCGCCACACCGCCTCCAGTGGCCTCGAACACACAGTGAACGTGTTCTTAGCCTAGCCACCTCTAAGGCGTGTCCTCTTCTTTCAATTGGCGGCTATCCATGTTTCGACGACGCAAAGCCCATCCTTCTCACACCGTCTGTCTCGTCATTCGTTCAATCTGCTGGAATACACTGTCTGTTCTAACAGCGTTTAGTCAACCGAAAGCGACAAAAGTCGTTTATTTCTTGGCGACACCCCCGTTGAAAAGTGTTCCTATACAGTTTGACATCAGATACTGGTCACATGCCAGAATGTCATCGGCGACAGATTTCTCCGCATCCGATATCAGAACATAATAGGATACGACCTTCGACTCTTGCGGATTAAAACGCCACATCCTCTTGCCTGGTAATCGACCTGGAAGTTTTCACATTTTCATGCTTCTTTACTCTGACACTCTGGTCCCTTCATCGCTACTTGACGGACCCATTACATCGTTGTTAATAGATCCCATTTTCTTGGTCTTGGTTTTCTTGGTTTTTTTTTCGTCAGAACCTCCTAATAATTTATTCGTTATCGTTCTCTTCGTTGTCATTCTTCCTTGCTCTTTCTTTTTTCTCTCTCAGGAGGATTATACCATCCTTCAGAAATGCTAAGGCTTAACAGGCTTTCTTGTTCACAGCCGGTGTCCGAAATTGTCCCAGATGCTAAATAGAAGTCAGCAAAGAGCCAAATGAAGCCTTTCCTTATCTTAACAGGGTGATTTCTGAACAACCCTGGTTAATAAATAGCTTTCAACATAATTTATGCTTTAATGCCACACTCTGCGACTTTCCTTCCGGCCGCCCTCTGATGGGAAATTTTCTCTTGGATGGGGGTGGCTGGGAATTCTTGTCCTGTAGGGGGGGGTTGTTTGGCCCCACAAACGCAAGCAAATCCGCTTGTTACGAAACCGTCTGGCGCCCGAGCCACCGCACAGGACAGGACAGAACATAAAGTGCTACCCGAACTGCTTTTAGAACTATGTTTCACCACCATTAAAGCTGCTTTGGGAGATTTTTCCCAGGGCATACCCCTTCTTTTGAGGGGGGGGGAGAATAAACTTCTTCTTACAGCCCACACGTTTTTGGTGTGGCCATCGCAATTGTATCAAAGTTTACTCGAAGTAATCCATTTTTCAACTAGTAGTGAGTGGTGTTGCCCGTGCGCCGGCACCATGGATAAATGACCTCTACAGCGGCGATTGGAACACGATTCGTAGAGCGGTTTAAAACTTTTTCCAATGAAATCCTCTTTGTCACGGAAAGTCACGATAGTTACGGTGCCCCTGAAAAAGGAACGTGAAAGGGTAGCACCTGGGGCGATGTTTCGATCAGAGAAAGCTGTCAATCGATTTTTGATCGTTACATTTACTACCTATTTCCCCGTCAGTTTTCAAGTAGATGTTATGTTACAGTGTTGTAAAAAACAGTAGTTTACATCAATGTCTCAGCTGTCCGGTCAGCTCGATAGTGACCATTGGATCCAGTTTCTCGTCAGACGACTCTAATTATCTCTAATTCGATCGAGACCGGTTCAGTGCAAGCCGTATTTTCGCTTTTTCTATTGGACCGATCTCATTTCAGATTCGATCTTTTTTTCTATTCAAAATTGTGGTTTTCCAGAAAATGCGGTTACCAACCAACCGCGCCCTACTTGGGTTATGGATTTTGGCTTGTTCGATATCAATTGGATTGACAGCTGAAGCTCATGATCGACACGAACATGCCAGTGAAACATCCAAAGAACCATTTGAATTCACTGATTCCATGGAAGCAGAGACGAACATGACCGCTGCTGAACCTCATCCACATCCAGAGCCTGAACCAGTAGCTGAACCGACACCTGAACCTCATCTTCCGCATCCAGAGCCTGAACCAACAACCGCAGCTATGAAACATGGAGCCGATCACCCACATCCAGAACCCGCTCCTGAACCTCATCCAGAGCCCGAGCCCGAGCCACATCCAGAGCCTGAGCCAGAGCCAACTTCATCAAAGTCACCTCCAGTGCCTGAACCTGAACCGGCCATCAAATTCGATAACATCAAATCAGAAGATTATGGTGACGTTGTGGAACTGGTAAATATTAATTAGCCTATTTCAGCGGGCCCATCTCATTTTTTTCAATTTTTTTTTCAGAAGAACCAACCCGATGAACTTGACACCGGAGGTTATTGAGCAGCTTGTCGACAGATTCCTTAACACAGGTTCACTCGCGGTATGATCACGAACATCAATTATGATCGAACGGACCATGTACTATTCGAAATTTTCATCTTTTTAGGACAAAAACGCACCTAAATCAGCTAATCCGGCCGCTCAGGCTCTTGTTGGCAGTAGCACCTTATTGGTATACAGAAGGACTTCTGGTTAGCTTTTTAACCCATGCACATTATGAGTTATTTTTTCTATCGGTGACAAATAAAAAAATCTCCAAGTTATTTCGTTGTTCTAAA